GGTCGTCCGTCGTACAGAGATTTCATTCGCGCGAAGCGCCGGTGCACTATTTTCGGCAGTCACTGTACCATTGCATCGGGCTAGGGCGGAATTGACATATAATAAACTAGGAATGATAGGCTACATATCACATGAGTATAATGGTCTTCCGCTGGGAAGCACGATAGGGAGAGCCGTGGTATTCAGACGCTCAGAATGTTCTTCAAGTACCCTGATGACAGAGTTGCATATCGCTCAGCCACATCACAATGTGCTACCATCAATATCACTATATGTGAAGTACTTAGAAACCTCTATGTATATCTGCTAAATAGATCTCTCCTTACTCAAGTCTGTTTGCAATGTGAGGGAAGGTTCCAATCGCTCATCTTAGCGCTGATTATATTGTTGGGTTCCCACCCTTCTCGGCCAGTGCCATGTTGACCCAAGCTTATAGGTGCCTATGCATTTTGTACAGGGGTATGTATTGTGTATGATCGCGAAATTCTGTCTCGACTGAATGGAAGGTCATTTTTCTGCTATTTTACTATGATTTTCCTCCAAAAAACAGACTCTGCGCACTTCCTATCACTATACCTCCCCAAGCAATCACGCTGATACTACCACCCTACATATCTACAACCTTCAGCTTTCTATCTACCCATCTCCCAATTCTTGTGCCACCCTGCGGCCTCGGTAATGCAGGAGAGCCGCAATTCTGTCACCTCCTTCGGGCGCTTATCGCACGTGGTGCGCTATTTTATGTGGTCACTGTATGAACGCGCATAAAGTGGTCTAATGCTCATGTTCTAATCTCCACACAATTCACCTGCTTACTTCATGTCTGGAGCAAAGGCGCAATCGCGAGGGACGCGTACTTAGTGGCAGCGCCTCCTGCATCTCCAGATCTCACTAGACATTGTGTTGCCATGTCCCATGTCGAGCGTAAGAGAACGAGGCTAATGGTCTGCAAATCGCACTGCAAACATTTTGACCGTTGAGGGTAATCAATTACGGTCCTTACTTTGTGGAGCATCACCTTCTATTTGTTCAGAGAACATCAGTGACCGTGCCATTCCTCACCAAGCGCATCTCCCTGCAATATGGACTGTCAACAACCATGAACGTGCGAGACGCGTGTATCGCAGACTCGTCTGTGATGCCAGCGAGGGCCGTGGGCTCCAGACCTGTGACCGTCATGTGGCCTGTTTGGGCAGGTCGCTTAGCGTAGACGCCGGAGAGAAAAAATCAGCGCGTTCACGGACTTATGCAAGGCACTGTAAATCGGGAGTATGTACATACGAGCCCGAGGACGATCCACTTGCAGTTCCCCCCGTGCGCAGTCACCATACGCTGCCGGGCCTCCGCTTATCAAGGATTCTCTCACGTGATGTCACATCAGCCATCCGTGGCTGCGATTCGTCCCTGACAGTGTTGTCATTGACCCGTCAGTGACGGGGTCGGTCGATGCGTCAAGTCAAAGGGTCAATAGGTCACGTCAATGATGGACCCGTCAATCAATCGTGGGAACCTCATCGTGATTGGCCAAGGATGGGATGACGGGGACCGGCCATCGGCTAACCCAGTCCGCACACTCTTCAAACTCAAGTCGCGAGCCCGCATATGTAGTTGTGCAAACCTGTAAGACTTGTCTTAGATATGAATTGACTCTGCTTCTTCTAGAATGTAACTTGTGCACCTGGGTCCACAGCTGAGTATTTGGAGAGAGAGAAACTGAGACTTGTATTTGATGTAGTCGTAGTCATACATATCATAACAGGGAATTGGACATGTTTGCATCAGCAAGAAGTTGATGAAGAGGGGAAGCACAGAAAAAAAATTCATGAGGATTCTGCTTCACCAGACAGAAGTCCTCGGAGACAGTTGCTTTCTGCATCCCCTCAGTCGCACCAAATGTTCCTGAGCCAAATGTTTTCTCTAGGGGATACAGCCCGCATATGCCGCAATCGTGGTCATCTATTTCTCCAGCTACCCTCATGTAGTGGAGCTTTACAATGTTTCCTACACCTTCTCTACTCAAGTACCAAGAGAGACCACAACGGCGATTGGGGGGTTGATGCCCCAGGTCGGATCGGTCTCAGCAAGCTTTCAGCTGAAGGGACCTGGACTGATGACCTCTCAAACTCAAATCAAAACAGGTGCTATATCGCACTACAATCTCCTGGGAAGCCATACGAGCAACCGGACACAGGAATAATGTTCAGGATTGTGCACAGTAGGTTGGACTTCGTCTGGATTGACCGGCGTCTCACCGCCACTTAGACCGCATGGCTCATGGTCACGTGTTTGATTGATGGGTCACTGACGGGTCATTGACGCGTCAGTAGGGTAGTGTTGCCGCGAAGTGAGGTCAAGGTCGCCTTAAGGTGTCGGAGTTCATACCTTGATGCACCTTGAAGCGCCACAAGGTGAGCTTGAAGTGGGCACGTGCTAGGCTTGCACAGCGAGCATGGGTAGTCTGGGGATCTCGGTGTACTGCGAAAGGTTGCAGTCTTGGTATTACGAGTCAACATTGTATCTACTTTCCTCGCGAGCCTGTCGTAATACATAGGAGATGTGTCCCGGACTGAATACACTACTGAGAATTGTTCTCATTGAAGCCATGCTCCGAAAACGGACTGTAAGCCGCCGGCTCGTATGGGTGGCTCAGATGATGGTCCTGGAGTGTTACCGGGGTGTCGCGCATATGCAGAGCTTGGCGCGGGAGTACAAGAGTAGTGATGAGAGCCAGGAGGGAAGGTCGATCGTGACTGAGGTGTACATCAGGAAAACGTCACGGACTTGGACCCATACTTGGGCCCAAGTTCATGTACTTGGCCTCAAGT